GCCCAGAGTCACGGAACGGATTAAGTTCGTATCCCGAGGTACCACTGTAGTACTAAGCCCAGTAGAAATCCTGCAAAAATAGAACAAGACCAAGAAAACTAGGAACCCCAGGCATGCTGATCCATACATAGAGAAGGAACTGTTCATCAGGCTGTTAGCTAGCATCCTTTCCCTTTTATAGAGATTGCTGAGAGGTGGGAAGCAAAGACAGGTAGAGAATTTAAAAGGACAGGACAGGAATGAGAAATCATTGCTCAGGTTAAGATGGCTAACTTGTGGGCTTTCTCTTCTCAGGGACACCCTCCCGTGATGTCCTTCTGGTCTCAGTCATCATCACCATCAGCCTTAGTGTCACCATTGTCCTGTGTGGAATTTGCCAGTGGTGTCAGCGCAAACTGGTAAGTTGTAATTATGTATGATCAGTCACATAAAAGAGGAAGCACCAGAGAGGTGGGAAAAGAAGTGGTTGTTTTTTCCTTGGCAAACTTTCTATTTAAAAGCATGGAGATCTCAGTGAAATTATGAAATAAGCTGTAGAAGCTATGAAAGAACATCCTTCTGGGGAGCAGGTAGTAGTTTAATTACAAATAATAGCAAGCTGATGATCATGGGATATAATGCCACCAATTAAAATGGGTCTATATATTTATTTTAATCACACTAACTGAAGATCAAGAATTATAGGGGAAGTGTCAAAACCAAGCACTAGATTGGAAAGGAAGCAGAGGTGGAAAGAGACAAACAGGTGAATATCAAAGGGATATCTGTTCTTCAATGATAGAACAGCATGGGATTAACAGATCAGAGCTGGTCCAAGACATTATGCTGTTTCATCCTACCACCCAAATCAAGGTGCATATTGATGAAGGCTAACCATGTTATTTGGGCAAATGAACCAGAAAATGCACCTCTCCCCATACGTTGCAGTAAAAATATAGTAATAATAAATAATTATTTGTTGGGGTTCTCTTTTTTCATGATACGCTAACATCTGCTGCTTAAAATAGTAATCTTATTCAGCACAATGGGATGATGCTGAAAAAGAGCATGAACTGAGGTTGTGGAAGATATCAGACCTGGGCATCTGGTGGCTTCCTTCCTTATGCAAATATACCTGAAGACAAAGACAGAGGATGCACGTGCTAAGCCAAGAGTAATGAATGGAGACATCTGTCCTTAATGCTTCTTTTTTATCAAATGCAGTGACCTATCCAAGGCTCATAGCTATATAAAGGGGCATCATGGAGTTTTAAGCTGTTTAATTCTTTCCCTTCCAGTCCTCTTCCATTGAAAAATGGTACTCTTTCAAAGCTATATGGGGGTGGGTGGAGGGATAACTCCTCTACTGTAAAAGTGAAGTTCAGGGAAAGGGGGAAAAGAAACAACTAGCTAATTAGGGATTTTCTGCTCTGTAGCCTTAAGCTGCTTAACTCCCATGTGTAAATAAGTCAGCTGGATAAAGCTGACTTAATAAATCCCTTTACAGGTATCAATTTATCCTTTGATTTGGCCATAGTGATGGGCTGATGTCCTTTCTGGACATGTTTTCTATGGCCCTTGATTGGTGGATTCCCCTGCTTCATTACCCCTCCCACCTATGCCAGAAAAGTAATTGCCAATTTCTTTTCTGTCCATCATGAGCAGGTCTTTGAGGCATATGGTTTCCATTGATAGACCTTTTATATGAATCCCCTCATACTTGACACCTTGAGTTCTTGTTTTCATCAACTACCATGGCTGCTAAGTGAAACATCACATGACCATGCCAGACTTACAACCTCAATTCCACTTTGGTCATTAACCAAATCACCATGGTCATTAAGTGAGACATCACATGACTGCAGCTTATGATTTCACTTCAGTGTTCTCCATTATTTCTGCTTGTTGGAGGCTGGTTGTGAAGCATGTGAATGACAATCATGTGACTGCAGGATGCTGCAACAATCATAAATGTGTGCAGGTTGCAAAGTGCCTGAATGGTGATCACGTGACCTCAGGACACTGCAGCAGTCATAAATGCGAGGATTGGTTGCTGAGCTGTTTTTTTTTTTAACCATCATAACTTCAAATGGTTGCTAAATAAGGCAGTCAGTAAGTGAGGACTACCTGTAGTGGAAAGTAGCAGGAGAGTTCTCAATTGCTCATTAGTCAAACCTGAAACAAAACAATGACACTAATCTCACACACAGGAATTAGAGTTAACCACTTTTAGCATTATAAAAACATACATGTGGTACTAAAGAGTTCTTCCTTTAGAATTTATTTATTTATTTAAATAATGGGGGACTCTGAGCGGCTCACAACACATTAAAACAATAAATAAATATACAATTAAAACCTATAGCAATTCACA